TTGTGCATTTTATGAGCATTCAAACTCAGGGAAATAATAATTTTTATGAAATTAAAATCAACTATAAAGCTAGATACATGTTGATGCATTCATGCTGCTGCACTCTTATTTTTGTGATGATTGGTTTTCACCAAAATTAAAAAGGAATTCAAAATCTTTTGAAAATGGATTTGTAAAATCGCTTAGAAAAAAAAGGAAATTCTTTTCCCTCTCCCTCTCTTCCCTCCATTCCGGCCTGTTGGCCCAATTCCGGCTCGGCCTGCCTCCACCCTTCCCTTTCCCTTGCAGTCGATGCCGCTGCTTCCCTTCTCTTTGGGCCGGCCCAAAGACCGCTGAAGGCACAACGTCATTGTTGTTCCTTCTCCGCTTCACGCCATGCAGTCAACTTGCTGGCAATCACTTGCATGACCATTGACCGCCGAGCCCACCTATCGGAGGTCGTCCCCAACCTCCCGCCGAATCGAACGGACGTCGCCCTTATCCTGCCGTCATCACTTCCGTGCTTCGCGGGGTCGTTGGCCCTTATCCCATGTGCGCCCACGCCTCTATAAAAGGGACCCCAAGAGCCGCCGCCGCCGCCCCATGCTACTCATATAGCGCCAGCCACCGCCTCGCTCAAGCTCGCAGAGCCGCTTCAAACCCTAGCAGAGCGAGTCGCCGGAGCCACCGCGACGTTCCGCCGCCTCACCGCCGTCTCCGCCTTCGTTTCATCCGTGGTGAGCATCCCCGCTTCCCCCTTTTTCGTTTCGCGTACTTTCCATCTCGAATCGTGGCCTCTAGGGCCGTCTTCACGCTCGCGGGTGAGCATTTCTCGCCGTCGGCCATGGCGGTCACCGCGTGGGTCATTCCTCGGCCGCGTAAAGGGCCTAGGCGTGATCGACATCGCCCCCGCGTCATCCCCATGCCCTCGGTTCGTCGAGCCATGGCCCGTAGGGCTCTTTTTTGCTCGCGCTGGTGAGGTTTCACCGCCAGCCATGGCCGCACCGCCACTGTTCCAGCCAGCTGACGCCTCTCTCTCCCTCGCCGATCTAATCTATACCGCTTAGTTTAGATCCAACGGCCCAGGATGGCCGATACCCATTCGCCGGTCACTTTCCGTAAAGAGACCCATGTCTTTTTCATAATCGAACCCGCACTCCTTTGCGCAATCCCGGATTACGTTTTCCCTTTTTGAAAGCGTAAACCACCACTGTTCAGATCTATAGTGCGCCTTCTCAATTTCAAAAGCGTATTTACGGTTCAATTTAATTAAAGATTTGCCCCTGAACTTGTTTTGCTCATAAAAACTACATTTTAGGTCCGATTTGATCCGTTCAAGTTGCGTTAGGTTCGTAATTAAGTAATCTACTTGTTTATGACACTGTTAATCATGTTTTCCACTTTTAAAATTCATGGTTAGATTTAATCTATTAAACTACTATAGAAAATCTTGTTTAATTCATAACTTTCACGTTTTAGCTCCGATTTTCATGATCTTCGCGTCTATGCGTTCATAGCGAGACGTAGATTCGTTTTATAAACCTTTCATCTTGTTTTCATGTTGTTGGTGTACTGTTCTAATTATAGGCTTGTTCTGGATGCGTGTTGTTGCTATGATGATCGAGTATAGATGTTGAGCAATTCGCATGTGATCAAGAGTACTATTTTGACGACTAGGGCCAACAGGGAAACTTTGAGTAAGGCAAGTATAGCATAGAATCTCCTTGTCCTATTCACCATTTAATTATTTAGTCATGTACATGTGTCTAATTTGATCGGATCTCCTAGATATTGTTACCTTGTACCTTGATTTCCGATGGGTTATACCTGCATATGGGTAGTTTGCTAGCACTCAAATTATTTATACATGATCTAAATGATGATTAATGGTACTATGGAACGGATGGTAAAACTTGCTCTTAGCAACTGGATGATAGGATGAGAGAGCAATTGGCTTTTTGCATAAGATGCTCTAGACACTGCCTAAGAACTTATCTGTTGGCAAAAGGTGGGACATACAGTACAACCGGAGGTGCCACATGGCTCTAGCTTTAGCTGAGTAGTAGGACTTTTTCTAGCTTGTTAGTAGTTACATGAAAGGGCGCAAATGGGGCCTGTCGAGCTAGTATATAGTGCGGCCTGTCTCTATGTGTATAGCCTAAGCTGAATGTGCGATTCGAAAGAGGGGCTCTATATTCCCTTACCGGGGATACATAGCGGCTACTAATTTGTTAGGAAAACCTTTGAAAGACTTCATAGTAAACCCTGCCAACCTCCCTAGGAAGGGGGTCAAGAGATTAACTACCTCGGACGAAAGGGTAAATCATGGCTCTCAGGTAAAGATGTACAAACTCTACAGAGTATTAAAAACTAGTATATCAACCGTGCTCAGGGACACGAGCGACCCAAAAAAACTGACGGAATAGTTGATCACTTGATGATGATGTTATTAATGATGATAATTCTAATGATGAATATTATTGTGTTTATGATCACGTGGTCTAATTGGAGCTAAAGCACAACTAAATGCTAATATAGTGCTAAAACTTTGACTTATTAAAATGCTAACCGCAGTAAACCAGAGTCAGCCTCCTGAGCTTCGTAAACCATGTTATTCTTGCTGAGTACGAGATTTACTTACGCTTGTTTATTTTTTACTATTTGGATAAAAACCCTGGATGGGTAATACATGCCAATGTTTATGAGTACTACCCCGAGGATTACTTAGACTTGTACTTCACCAATCGACGTCCCCGTGGAGTTTAAGGCTCTAGTGGAGAGTAGTTACCTAATTTTTCCGCTTTCATGATAGACTTGATATTATTGTAATGAATTATTGTTCGTGATGTAATAAACATTGTGATGGTACTTTGTAATTTGTTAGCTTATGTGTGCGACTGATCTCTAGGCGCACATAAGATTTATGCATCCCATTTTATCCTTAAAATCGAGTGTGACATACTATCACCTTTAAAACTTTGTATATCAAATTTTAAAACTTTGTAATTTCAAACTTTACATTTTAAATTCAAAAACTTTATACTAGCACATTTAAAACTTTGTATTTCAAACTTTAAAACTTTGTAATTTCAAACTTTACATTTTAAATTCAGAAACTTTATACTGACGCATTTAAAACTTTGTATTTCAAGCTTTAAAACTTTATAATTTCACACTTTACATTTTAAATTTAGGAACTTTATACTAACACATTTAAAACTTTCTAATTTTAGATTTTATTTTTAAAATTTAGGAACTTTATACTAGCACTTTTAAAACTTTATACTAGCACGTTTAAAACTTTGTATAATTTTAAACTTTACATTTTAAATTCAGGAACTTTATACTAGCACATTTAAAACTTTCTACTTAAAGATTTAAAACTTTGTAATTTTAAATTTTATTTTTAAAATTAAGGAACTTTATACTAGCACATTTAAAACTTTATACTAGCACATTTAAAACTTTATGTTTCAAATTTTAAAACATGTAATTTCAAACTTTACACTTTAAATTCAGGAACTTTATACTAGCACATTTAAAACTTTTTACTTTAAGGTTTAAAACTTTACAATTTCAAATTTTATTTTTAAAATTCAGGAACTTTATACTAGCACATCTAAAACTTTGTATTTTAAGCTTTAAATTTTTTGTAATTTCAAACTTGACATTTTAAATTCAGGAAGTTCATACTAGCACACTTTAAAACTTTATACTTTAAGATCTAAAACTTTGTAATTTCAGACTATTTTTAAAATTTAGGAACTTTATACAACCACATTTAAAACTTTGTATTTCAAAGATTTAAAACTTTGTAATTTTAAACTTTACATTTTAAATCTAGGAACTTTATACTAGCGCATTTAAAACTTTGTACTTTAAGATTTAAAACTTTGTAATTTCAAACTCTATTCTTAAAATCCAAGAACTTTAGACTAACACATTTTAAATTTTGTATTTCAAGCTTTGAAACTTTGTAATTTCAAACTTTACTTTTTTATAGAGAATTAGAAAAATGAAGATCACCTCAACAGTTGTATGCTGCAACCTGCTTCATGTTGCATATGGATCAACTACTTCTAACCCTCGAAGACATTTACATTCAACCTACACTGGTGGTTGCAACCTGGTACCTATTGCATAAGAGCATAAGAGCATCAATTTGGAGCAATTGCATAAGAGCATAAGAGGTTGAAATGAAAGCCATGAATATACCTGATAAGCAGAGGTTTCTTAACTTCATCCAATGATTTTAATGCATTACAAAAGATCAAATTATTGACTCCAGATCATCAATCCTCACGTGTGGCTCATGTGCTGTGTTGACAGAGAAAAATAGTGTCATTTCAGTGCTATTTTTATAATCCCAACTTTTAATAGAATAGCTAGCTGTTGAATCCTGAAAAATTGGCAAGGCACGCCACTTTCCATCCATCTGAATCACCAAAATGAGCCAAACTTTGTGCTCATCAAGACCAATGGTCGTGGGCGCTGTAGTATTTTTTCCTATAGTTCATTTGTCTCCAGATGCATGGCCTTAGCATTGTTCTATACATAATTGTTGCAACTGCACTTAAATAAGATAGACCATCAAGCAATGCCAAAATATCATTACGAAACAACTACGAAAAAGATTCTATAAAGACATCAGCATATGCATTTCACATGCCATATCCTGAAACTACAGTCAAAATAGCTCTCCTGCGCTCTCAACATTATAGCCCAACATGCAACAGTTTACTATATAAGGTTGGAAAACTTAAATCTATTTTACTTAAAGGTCAATTTCATTTCTCTCAACAGTACGAAAATATAACAGTACTTTTCTGATCCTAAATGTGACATCATACTGCAAAAAAGTAGTGTTGTATGTAAATACCTAAATGAGGAAGCGATGAATCGAATAGCAGTGTGTCATTTTTTCACAAAGATTTCTCACAACAGAAAACTAATGTGGAAGCACCAAAAGAGCAGTTACTAACATTTTCTATATATCGAACAATAGAAAACTAATGTGGAAGCTAATGTGAAAACATCATAAGGCAAAGGTGTAGGTGGTGCTCGGTAAGTGCAAGTGAGGATGTACCAAGATCTGTGTCAACTGCAACTATAGCAGAAGTTGGAGATGGTCCATCAAAGGCTGAAGACAAGGGTTCATGCTCCTCGGGATTTTGTCTATGCTGAATAATGCAAAAGGAAAGTAAATTTTGCAGCACAAAAGATTAGATGAAAACAGAAAGCTAGTGCTGAGTCAGCTTCAGTCCTGTTCTTTTCTTTCTCCCTTTTGGAATATGGAAGTGACCATCACATAAGGTATATTAAAGCAACCGTGATATTATTGACAGAGTCTGTATTTCTGATTACCAAGGACTGATAAGAACAACAGGAAGATTCACATTACAGGGAAAATAATTCCTTCTGTTGCATCAAAACTTTTATATAGCCGTTAAACTTCTAGCATTGTGAATTATGAGACATGGTAGAAACTAGGTTATCGTTGCAGTTAATGGTAAGGGTGCCAAAAATGCTTGCTGAGGACTGAGGGAATATTTTGACATCAAAAGTAAGACAAAGCAGGTTATACATACATAGATTTGCACTGGTGCTCTATCTGACTCAGACGCCCTTGATGAACAGCAGCAGCAGTCACCCATTGTATCGCTTGAACGAAAAGCTTACTCCAAACTATCCTCTAGATACTATTAAAATCTAAAGTTCTGTGTTCATATATACCTACAAATGAAACCCTGATGCAAGAGCAGAAAGAGGATAACAGGAAAAATATCCATGTAGTACCCATTGTAAAATACTGATTAAACTTGAGCGACTTCTATCCAAGCTTAGAGGCTCCAATACTACTATCCTCTAGATACTATTAAAATCTAAAATAAATATAGATAATAACTGTGTGAAAGAGTGAAAGTAGTAAATTAACTTGCAATAGCAAATTAGCAAGTACCAGCCAAAGCAAAGAGCGGAACTCCGGAAGCATCTCCATTCTTCAAATCTTCAATTGTCCAGCATCTATATATTGCCAGTTCAAGCAAAGCGGAACTCCGGAAGCATCTCCATTCTTCACAAGACTGTCCAGAAACCCCAACTATGCTGATGCAAGAAGGATAGTAGTAAATCATGTGCAGTCTTGCAAATATCCAAGTCCAGAATTTGAACGCTGAAGTAGACAGGAGATGAGGAGAGGAGAGGACAAAGGATAACATCCGGCACGGAAAAGGCGCGGCAGCCCCGCGGGCATCCATGTCCCAGTATTGCACCCCGCCGTAGAGGCGATTCTAAAACACGTACCACGATGCGGTTAAACGCCCTGGTGGCGGAGGCCGTGGTGGTGGCGACGGTGAGCAGCGGGTCGAGCGCGGCGGCCACGTCCTCGTCCTCCTCGTCGGCGAGGAGAGCAGGAGACTTTGCAGCGTCGCGCCCCATAGGGCTTCCGTTTCGTGCTCCAGCCCACTTGAATGACAACGTCTGGCTAGAGGGTGTTGCATCGCTGTTTGTACTATTGGGCAATCTCCCAAACTACGTATCAGCCCAGCCCAAATTCTATTGTTGAAAAGCTAATTCATCATCCTTGGTTTTCCGTATCCGAGACTTTTTTGGACGTATCCGTGTAACATAGTGTAGAGGCATGCAGACTACAATCTCAAACTGATATCAGCCTAATCTATTGTTGAAAAGCTAATTCATCAAGTTTTCTCAGACTTTTTTTTAATCCTATAACATCAAGTTTTATGGGAGGGAGTACATATAAAACTTGTGCACCTTGGTAAAAAGAAAAGAGAGATAAATAATTCAGATGAAGCTTGTTTATAGAACAAGAGAAATTGGAGCCGATCAACTAAAAAGAATTTGTAAAATCTATATAGAGAAGTTTGATGTAATCTGTCATTTTAATAATTCATTTATGCATGAAAACTAGCAGAATAAAAGAACACATTTCTGCATTAAGGATGTCTGACGAAGTAATTAGACAATTCATACCTGTAGAATTTAGACAATTCATATCACAAAATAATTTGGAGTCTAGAGAATTCTATCCGCCCGCAGATCTACAGCCCTAGAACAAACTGTAATTTTTACACACATAGAAGAAGCTAGTTAGTACCTATCAATGGTGGTGACCACGAGCAATAGGATTTGAAAACGAGCTGTCCAGATACCTAAATCGAAGGGATAAAGTTGGTCAGTGGCATGCTTGCTGGAGATCGACATAGGCCCTGTGATGAAAACACGATAGCTGCCCAGGCTGGCGCGGCCCCGGCGCCAACTGGCAGCGGCTGGAAGGCAAGCGGCGGTCCCCAGGCCCTAGGGGCAAGCTGCAGCCGGTAGCCGCCCACCGGCGGGCCGCTGGCCTGGCTGTCGCCCGCCTGCGCACAGAGGACAGGAGCGGAGCGCGCAGGAGGGGCCGAGGAGGAGCCGCCGCCGCGCCGCGTTCGAGTGGAGAGGAGAGCGCCGCCGCAGGCCGCCTGACGCCTGACCACGAGCGTGACGGGATTCGAGCGAGCAGCGGCGACAGGATTTGGCGCAGGCTGTCGAAACCTCAAACCCTAACCAATCCGACGCCGACGCGGAGTTGTAGGTGATGGGGTGGACGAGCTGCGTCGAGTGTCAACGGAGTGCACCGGTGGTGATTGGGGGAGGGGCAGCGAAGGCTGATGGCGTAGCGCGTGTGCCGAGATCCGGTGGCGGAGGTGCCTCCCTCATGCCGGCGGCGTGTCCCTGGGGATGACCGAAAGGGAAAGGGAAGCCAAAAACAGAAGGTGCCTGACGGAAAGAGAAACAAAAGCCAAAAGGAGAAAGTGTGCGTCGCTAGCGCCTGCAGCGCACGTGCGCTGAATATTAATTGAGTCTGTCTTCTTAACAACCAGTGTGTTTTACCACCCGGTTACACCTAATTTTTTTCTACATGGTTACCGTTCATCTTCCTCTAATCTTCCTTTACTGTTTATCTTCCTTCTTGACACAAATTATAGATCACAAGTAACAAATCACAGATCATAAGTAACATTTTTTATGAAAGGATGGAGACAAAATTTGGGTTGGTGCCGGAGTTGGGGAAGAAGAAGCTCGCCGGAGTTGGTTTCGATCTTTGGCAGCAGCAAGCGCGTGGCGCGGCAGCGGTCAAGGACGGGGACACGGTGACGGGCATGGTGGTGAGCAGCAAGGGCGGCGCAGTAATGAACTTTGCTGGCCAGCAGCGGCTACAATGCGATGTCTTGGACGACGGCAGCGACAATTGAAAAAAAAATCATGTATGCCCGGGAGCTAAAACATTATATAGCAATTCCGTAAGAATTTGGATGGGAGAACTATTAATTGTACCATTGCATAAGTTGTTATTGTAATACAACTCACAAGTTACTTTTGTACTATGCATAAATTAAGGAATTGTGAGTTGCTATAAGAACTTAAAACACAACCATTGTATATATCGTCTATTAAGTCCTCTTAAAATCACATGGCACTATATGTGACCACCTATGAGACAATACTAATGTAATTGCTCTTAAGAGGATCTACAGGACGTAAAAGGTTCTAATACTAACTCCAAGAGGTTCTTTGTAACTTTTGATATTGATATTTCCATTCATGGATTGTCCTGATTTAGGTGAAAAAGTTCCTTTAGTGGCTTTTTCAACTAGATCTCTAAATATTTCCATCCTTTATTTCTATTTCTCGCTTGCTAAAAGATAGAAAACAGATCTAACTCTCTAAAGTACCGAACAAGATACAGAGAAGTTGTCGAAAGATTAAGAGATATAGAGAGCGATTTTTATTAGAATAACTCTAAATGAGGATTTAGAGAATGATTTTAAGAAAACAGTTGGAGATGCTCTAAGCTTTGTATTATGGGCCATGATTCTTTGATGTTGCTTCCTCTAATTCTTTGTGTATGCTTGCAGTTTGTGGTAGGCCTGTACTTATTTTACCTAGCTCTAGTTACTCATCTTCCGAATTGTCGATCTATATAATTGTCTAATTTGGCAGCTCCTGAAAGCAACCCCAATAATAGAGCTAAATATTTGACTATTAGCTAAGTTATAAGAGGCAAACCATATAATAGTTGTCTCTTATTTATTTATATTTTTTTATTTTTACTTTTACACATGTTTCACCTTCTCTTTCCTAATCCTTCTCACATTCAATTTATGTCTGGGTCCACCACTGCTTTGGCTCCTGTGCCCAACTTCTTGCTTGTATGAGAGCCAAGTTGTTCTCTCTTCACTCCACGTCATCATTTGCTTGACCCTAAGATAGTTAGCTCTGAGTACCACTGAGGTTTGAACAATCCTAATACAACGGCCAAGGTAGTAGGCTATGGACTGATAAGAGATTTTCAAAGGATAGACCCTCGAACCAAGGTCAGTTTGGTAGGGTTTCGTCTCCTCCAAAAATAGCTGCAGCTCTAGCTTCTTTAGAAAACGTTTGGCAGAACGGTATTTTTTAAAATATTCTATTTTTAAATTAGAAAATGTTGCTTTTTTCTGAAAAATAAAAATATGTTCATGTTTGATCCTGTTTCGTTGCATTAATTGTAAATAATGTTATGGTCAAAACAAATTTGAAACAGATACTTTGTTTTGGAAGGAAATTGCCTTAAAAGTCTCCAAATGCCACTAATTTGCATGCGCCATTGCTGCCCTCTGTCACACACTCCCTCAACGAATCCTAGGTTGCCATGTGACCATGACATCATCTTTGCATTTTCTGTGCATTTATTTGCAATTAATGCAACGAAACAAGATGTTTGATCTCCAGCGGAGCCATCATCTTTGCATGCGCCATCATCTCTTTGCACAGAAAATGCACTGCGCGGAGGTAGCTAGGATGAGCGGAGCCGGAAGAAGCTACCTCCACGCAGTTCATTTCCTGTGCCGGCTCCGGAGTTTTTCTGCAGGTCGCCGTTTGGTATGGACCAAAAACTAAAAGGTACCTTAATGATAGATTCATCATCGATCAAGGACCGGAACGAAAGATCGCGAAAGAGCGGCGCTAGAAACCTGCAAGGGCCATCCAACCATCCACGTCCTCGCCGAACCCTCCCGGTCGCGGCTCCCCCAACTGCCCACCGGCTACCGAACTCACGAGCAAAGCTAAACGCTGCCAACCAACTCGCCTCCGCAAAAAAAAAATCACTGCCAAGAACACAAAAACGCGAGGGAGAAGAGAGAAGGAAAAAAAAAACAGTGCTAGGGTTTGGCTGATTGGCTTCCGCCATGGCGTCGACCTCTCCGAGCCGCTCCTCCGGCGGGGACCCGCCTTCCCCGTCCACGCCCCTCATCTCCTCGCCGACCTCCCCGTCCCCGGCATCCGGCCCCTCCGGCGGCGGCCCGCTGGGGCGGCTCACGAGCCTCCGCGGCGCGGCGCGGTTCATCCGCCGCACGGGGAGCCGGCGCCTGATGAGGGAGCCCTCCGTGGCGGTGCGGGAGACGGCCGCCGAGCACCTCGAGGAGCGCCAGACCGACTGGGCCTACTCCAAGCCCGTCGTCGTGCTCGACTTGCTCTGGAACCTCGCCTTCGTCGCCGTCGCCGCGGCCGTCCTCGCCGCGTCGACGGGCGAGAGCCCCGCCGTGCCGCTCCGCGTCTGGATCGCGGGCTACGTGCTCCAGTGCCTCCTCCACATCCTCTGCGTCACCGTCGAGTACAGGCGCCGGCGCAGGGACGCGGACCAGGAGGGAGCGGGTGATGAGGATTTCAAGCTCAGGTGAGCCTCTGCTTGGATCGAGCCCGAGCTCCCAATATTTCTGGTGTCGCATCTTATTGCCATCGTGATCTGGTCAAAGTTCCGTGCCACCTCCAGGCCTCCTTCTGTTGTGCTGTGTTGACCATTTCTGTGCTCATGCTTTTGATTGTACTAGTAGCTACCTCGTGCTGTTTATTGTTGGTGTTTTGAAGCCCTTCTCATTTGAGTCGTGGACTCGATGGGAGTTATACACCTTTTTTATGGGGACTCTTCCTTTTCCCCTTTATTTGATTCCCTTTTCTTTTTCTATAATATGACAGGTCTATTACTTTTGGACAACTTATGATTTCCTTTGCTTAAAAAAATGTGCATAGGGTGGTGGTGGAAGGTTGATTGTCAGCGTAATTATGTTGTTTCGGTTAAGGTTGCATTCTTATGGAAAAATTTTAGAGTAATTGATGATAGCATGTGTGACTTCATACATTGCAGACTTGCAGTGGAACCGGGAGATTATTTAGGGTGAGGGGATTTCTCTGACAATTCTTTTATAATATGTTGGATCTGAATCCCACTACCTAAACAGGCCCTTATTCTCTTGGTATTTGCAGCCAACTTTATGATGACCAAGATGCTTCTATTGAACGTATTCCCTGTAATTTCCATAAATGTGTTTTGAATATTTCATTGTGGTTCACTTGCAGGCATATACCACTTGATTGCAATCCTTTTAGAACAAGTGAAAGCAATAAGTAATGAAATTATCATCTATAACAATGAAGTACAAAAACTGAAAACAAGAGTTTTAGCCTGAGAACTGAGTAGGTTGCTGTCGGATATTATTTAATATGGACCGATATCAACAACAACAACATAACCTTTCCGTCCCAAGCAAGTTGGGTAGGCTAGAGTTGAAACCCACCCAGAGCCTCAAGTCACGGTTCGCACTTCAATAGCTGCTTTTCAAGCACTCCTATTCAAAAATAGATCTCTAGGTATATCCCAAGCTAATATCTTTTTATTGTCTCCTCCCATGTCAATTTCGGGCTTCCTCTACCTCTCTTATATAATTAGCTTGGCTTAGGACTCCACAATGCACTGGTGCCTCTGGAGCTCTCCTTTGGATATGGCCAAACCGCCTCAACCGATGTTGGATAATCTTTTCTTCAATTGGTACTACCCCTAGGCGATCACGTATAATGTCGTTCCGAACTCGGTCCATTCTTGTGTGACCACAAATCCATCACAACATACGCATTTCTGCAACACTCAGTTGTTGAACATGTCGAATCTTTGTAGGCCAACATTCTGCTCCATAGAACATAACCGGTCTAATCGCCGTTCTATAAAACTTGCCTTTTAGCTTTTGTAGTACCCTCTTGTCATAGATAATGCCAAAAGCTTGTCGCCACTTAATCCACCCTGCTTTGATTCAATGGCTAACGTCCGCATCAATATCTCCATCCCTCATAGCATCGATCCCAGATACCAAAAGTTATCCTTCTTAGGCACTACTTGACCTTCCAAACTCACATCTCCCTCCTCCTGTGCAGCTTCGCAAAGTCGCATATCATGTATTTGGTTTTAGTTCTGCTCAATCTAAAACCTTTAGACTCAAGGGTCTGTCGCCATAACTCTAGTTTCCTATTAACTCCCGCCTGACTTTCGTCCACTAACACTACATTATCAGCGAACAACATACACCAAGGGATATTCCCTTATATGTTTCTGGTAACCTCATCCATTACCAAGACAAAGAGATACGGGTTTAAGGCTGACCCTTGATGAAGTCTAATTTTAATCAGGAAGTAATCTATGTTACCATCGTTTGTTCGAACACTAGTCACAACATTGTTGTACATGTTCTTGATGAGGGTCACGTACTTTGATGGGACTTTATGTTTGTCCAAAGTCCACCACATAACATTTCTTGGTATCTTGTCATAAGCTTTCTCCAAGTCAATGAAAACCATGTGGAGGTCCTTACGCTCTCTAAACCGCTTCATAACTTGTCTTATTAAGAAGATTGCATCTGTGGTTGACCTTCTGGGTATGAAACCAAATTGGTTTGTTAATATCTGCGTCGTTTCTCGTAGGCACTGCTCGATGACTCTCTCCCATAACTTCGTAGTGTGCCTCGTTAACTTAATTCCCCGATAATTAGTACAACTTTGGATATCTCCCTTGTTCTTGTAGATTGGTACCAATATGTTTCTTCACTCCTGAGGCATCTCGTTCGAACGAAAGATATTGTTGAACATCTTGATTAGCCATACTATAGCTATATCCCCGAGACATCTCCACACCTTGATTGGGATACCATTAGGGCCCATCGCTTTGCCCCCTTTTATCCTTTTCAAGGCTTCTCTGACCTCTGATTCTTGAATCCTCCGCACAAAGCGCCTGTTAGTGTCATCAAACGAGTCGTCCAGCTGAACGGTGGTGTTCTTGTTCTCACCATTGAATCATTTATTAAAATACTCTTGCCATCTATGTCTGATCTCATCCTCCTTCACCAAGAGCTGCCCCCTCTTATCCTTTATGCACTTGACTTGGTTGAAGTACCTTGTCTTCCTATCGCGAGCCCCAGCCATCTTATAAATGTCCTTCTCTCCTTCCTTCGTACTCAAACATTGGTAAAAGGTCTTCGTAGGCCCGCCTCTTTGCCTCACTCACCGCTCGTTTTGCAGTCTTCTTTGCCACCTTGTATTTCTCTATGTTGTCTGCACACCTGTCATGATATAAACGTTTATAGCACTCCTTTTCCTTAATAGCCTTTTGCACATCTTCATTCCACCACCAAGTGTCTTTCGAGTCGCATTCGCTCCCTTTGGTCACTCCAAGTACCTCTGAAGCAACCTTCCGAATGCATGTTGCCATCTTCTCCCACATGCTGTTTGTATCGCCTTCATCCTTTCAAGGGCCCTCTTCAATGACATTTTCCTTAAAGACCTTTGATGCCTCCCTTTCTAATTTCTACCACTTCGTTCTAGCAACCCTAGCTTGTTTGTTCCTACGAGCTTGCACCAGAAAGCGGAAGTCAACCACCACCAGCTTGTGTTGAGCGACCACACATTCTCCAGGTATCACCTTATAGTCCATGCATGTTCGTGTATCCCTCCTTGTAAGGACAAAGCCGATTTGACTAGAGTACTGGCCACTATTTGTCGGTTATCGGTATTAGGGATAACCTCCTCGCGTGATAGGCCCCGATGACATCGGCCCCGCGAAGGCCGTGGCTCTTTAGGAACGTGATGGCGTCAAGGATATCGCGCATCCTCTTCTTTTCCTTCTCGTGAGGTCCCCACGACCACACTTGTGGCGTCTCTTCGATGAGGCGTCCAGTGAAGTCTGGCAAGGGGGCGGCGGCGTCGTTCTTCATGTAGAACCACTGCGCATGCCACCCCTTGTTGGACCTCGACAGCTGGCAGAGCATGTACTCGGCGGACCATGGTCATAACGCTGCTTGGTCAAAGACGACCCGGTGGATGCCGCTCATCCCATCGGCACCGGCGTCCCCGCTCCCTATCCCTCTTCTTGAGCGAGGGAGAGAGAAGAAGTACCTCCACGCTCAAAGTGGGGCTCGATCCCTAGATATCCCAACCACTACGGGTCTAAGACAAAGATAATGAAAGGCCGTGATGTGCTGGATCCCGTTGGGATTCAGATGCTACAACTCGATCTGGTAATGGTGCAGTAGCCCCCGGAAGAACGGGTGGGGAGAAATCGCGAGTCCGCGCTCGTGGAAGGGCGCGAAGGACACAACGTATCTCCTCCTCCCGGTGCGCGCACTTCTCACTGCCGGCACGAGCCACTCCACGCAGCAAATCGGTCCTCCCTTGCCGAGAAGAGCCAGCGCATGACAAGGCCTCCATGCGCGTGGGGGGCGTCGGCGAGTGATACCACAACTCCATGGGAAGCAAGGGCGGAGGAACGAAGCTTGACGGTGGAAAACAGGGCGGAGGAACAAGGATTTCCTGGCGGCGCCTTGAGCGGCGCGGCCGTCCACCTAGGTTGACGCGCTGCTGCGCCTCGTCACATCACCTCTCCGGAATCGTACGCCATGCCCCCGCCCGCCGCCTCACGCGCGGGCGGCGCGGACAAATGGGCGCCCCTCGATGGGCCGAAAACCGCGACCAGACCTAGGTAAGAAGGGATCTGGTGAAAAACGCCCACATGCCCCATTAAGGCCAAGAGGAGTTCAAGGTTGGCCCACCGACGGGTTCACAACCGCCCTCCAGCCGGCACCTTTAGAGTGAGGGGTGGTAAGGATGGGTCCGCTCTTCCGCCGCCGCCCCGCGAAAGATGGTCGATCGAGTCTCGGATCTCTGATGCGACGAGGCGGCAGTGCCACGGGCATCCCGGTCCACATTCGGGTCTTGGCCGGAGCACAGTCCATGATTTTTCTTCGAAGAAAGGCAACGAGCCCTTGGGACCGGTCGAATGGACCCAATCACCCAAGAACTATATGGATTGGCCGCCAAGAAAGGCAACGAGCCCTTTGGGACGGTGACCTATGACGCGAACCCCCAATGAGAAGAGCTCGGGCCCCGCTCGAACCAACCCGCATGCCGTCACATGACCGGCGACGGAGTTAACGCTTAGCGCCGAGCACTATGATTCGGCCCATCGAGGAAAACTTGGCACGGCTCAACCCTCCGCTTTCTGAACCAAAAAAAATCAAATCGCTTGAGGGGGGACGACCACAAGATTTAGTGACCCTGCCGGGCACCTTCACCCGGCCTCTTGCTAGATGGCTGGGGCTCGGGGAAGTTAGACTCGCAAGGAGACCGAATATGTGGTCGCATGACAATGGCGGATCGATCGGATCCTAGGGAGGGATCGGAATCAAGAGTGATCTTTTCTGACCCCCCGAATCCCGCAGCTGCATGCTCTCGAAGAGTTCGAACGCAATGGAAAGGAATCGCGACCCTACCAAGACATCCCATGGCCCGCAAAGGGAGATCAAGGCCCTCAGAATCCTTTCGTCTGAAAAAGCCTTCGAAGGAGTATCCTACTCCTCCGTAGGCTCGGGGCTACGCATCTTGTCGCATCGGTATTAGGGATACCGGAAGAAGAAAGTCGATGGCATGAACGCTTCTCTCGGATGGTCAAAGACGTATTTTGGTCTCGCCCAGCATCCGGCACGGGCTCCGTGTTGCCCGACCCGAGGTAGCGGGCTCACAACCCGACCGAGGGCACCGGCCCGCGTCATCTCGCCTTCGATCCCGAGGCTCCGCGCGCTGCCTGCCTTGCCGATGACCCTGCATGCATGCTTGGCTGCTTGTGATCGATGCGACGAGGCCCGCCTCGCTCGACCTCGAGGGCGCGGGCCGCTTCACCCGACCTCGAGGGCGCGGGCACAATCGACGCCTCGACCAGAGGCCGAGGCAAGTGCGGCTCGCCTCGCCCGACCCTCGCGCGGACTTCGCCGCCGACCCCTCGAGCCCGAGGGATTCCGCCTCGCTGGCTGCGGGGTCCATACCACTCCCAACCACTACGGGTCTAAGAGTACGAACCACGTGGTCAAATTTCTAACACCAGAAAGGGAGTAGGCGCGTCTTGACGTGACCCGCAACCACGACGGACCATATCTGAGGACTCACGTCATCAATAAAGATTCATGACGAAGAAGTCGCGTGTGCTGCTATGCACCTAATCCCCGACGACTTATCACCGACGGGTATTTGCTAACCATGCCGCCTGTCGAGAATTTAATGGAGCGCCACGACCGGCCGCCGACGACGTCACGACGCCGCGCGAGATAGCGAAGGATTAGTGATGAACAGGTCGTGGACGTGGGTCTTTCAGCTTTCCATCATCATCTACAGACCCGGCAGCGGGACCCGCAAGCGTCCAGTAAAGCGAGATAAAGGCGCCGGTAACTTCATCCGAGGCCTTCTTCTCGCTCTCTCTCTCTCTCTCTCTCTCTCTCTCTCTCGTCTAACTGTGGCTTCCCTTCATCTATAAAAGGGGAAGCGGGACCTCACATGGTCCAAGGGCGGTGACAGCAAGGGACCGAACGAGCTCAACGAGACTCAACTCCGTTCGACCTTTTCACCAGAGACTTGGGACCTGCTTCCTTTATCGTCCATTTGTAACCTCTACTACAAACTAGTGCCGGTAACACGGGCAGCAACAGACTGGACGTAGGGACATTCCGTCCGAATCAGTATAAATCCTTGTGTCCTCCGAGCATATCATCCGGGCCAGACGCGCAAATCACAAATTTACTAGTTGGTGATTCGAAACACCGACACTACTAAAGGTCACTAAATGGGACTGCCTTTTACGAAAGAAAGTGTTGGCTATCATCAGATCAAAAGCTATGGCGAAGTCTAAGACTTCCTCTCCCTCCTGGTTCCTACTACCATATTCGAACCCCCCATGAACTGCCTCGAAACCTGCACTTGATGTACTTACCTGACCATTAAGATCACCTCCTATAAAGAGCTTCTCGCTACTAGGGACAGCTCTAACCAAGCGATCTAAGTCTTCCCAGAAAAGCCGCTTAGCACTCTCATCATGGCCTACTTGGGGGGCATACACACTAATTACGTTTAAGACCATATCACTAATGACAAGTTTAACTAAGATGATCCTATCTCCTTGCCTTCTCACCTCCACCACACCATCGTTGAGGCTCTTATCAATCAAAACCCTTCATTTTTATTTGAGGTTGTCCTTGTGTACCAGAGCTTGAAGCCGGTATTGTCCACCTCCTTCGCCTTCTGCCCCTTCCATTTAGTCTCTTGGACGCATAAGATATTTACACGCCTCCTAACCGCTGTGTCCACTAACTCTCTTAACTTACCCGTAAGGGACCCTACATTCCAGCTACCTAAACGGATTCTAGTTGGCTCGACTAGCTTCCTTACCCTTCGCACCCGCCAAGGTAGGTGTGAAGACCCTTGCTCATTTTGCACCACACCCGGGAGCCGATGTGGCGCGCCACTAAGGATGCGATGACCCGATCCTTGCTCACTTGACACCGTGCCCAGATCGCGACACGGCGCGTCACGGGGGTGACGGCCCGGCCCTTGCTCATTTAACACCATACCCGGGTTCCGACATGGCGCGTCGTTAAGAGGGTTATGCCCCAACGGGATTATTTTGGGTTTCATTTCCATAAAAGTGGCTCATTGGCTCGCTGCGCCTAACACAACCCTCCTCCTTTGTCAGGGCTTGGGACCTGCTATGGTGGAACACCAAAGGCGCCCCACCATAGGTGGAGTTAATATGGACCGATATCTTACATAGAAATGGCCCCAATGAAAATTTTGTATTGATTTGATGGACTTGTCTATTATTAGCTTTTTGGTGCTTTTGTACAAAGCCTTCACATGTCTTTCTTTCATTTTACCTGAATCACACTAGGAAACTTTTCAATACTGAAATCCTTAAGATTACTTGTTCTTGTCATCATACTTACTATTTATCTGTTTCCATGTTCAGTATTGTGAAGCACTTGGAGTCTGCAAACACGATGTTTTCCTTCATATGGTGGATCGTTGGGTTCTATTGGGTGTCTGCAGGTGGTCAAGCTTTATCATATGATGCTCCTCAACTTTATTGGTATGTCTGTTGTAACTTTGATGTGTGAATAAGGAAAAAAATCTGAGTGGTCTTTTGTAAGTTCATCAATGTTCTCTGAAATGTCTATCTTCTTTTTCTTCTTTTTACAGGCTGTCAATTGTTTTTCTGGCATTTGATGTTTTCTTTGTGGTCTTCTGTGTTGCCTTGGCTTGTGTGATTGGAATCGCTGTTTGTTGCTGCCTTCCCTGCATTATTGCTATCTTATATGCTGTAACTGATCAGGTATGTCCTGTGACCACCATGGTCTTCTAAATACAGCTCCTCCTCCTTTTTTTTTCTGTCAAATGCAATGGCAAATGCCCTGTTTTGGATGATATGAACACTCCTGTTTGCTGCCCTTTGCTACATTCATACACCCATGCCATAAAGATATTAGCATGCCCTGTAGTGGTGCAAGTAATTTTAACAGAGGCTTTGCCTGGGATCATTGATGTCTCCTATGCTGATGTGCAGTGAGCTAGCAACCATCATTGTCTGAACTTTTTCTCTGTAGCTTTATCCCTTTACACTACCACAACTACTTATTCTACTTATTAGCCAGTATTATTTGAATTATTCACGCTTAAGATGGTTGTTGACATGACAGAAACAATTCTCTTCTTCTCTGCCTCCTGACACAAAACCAATGAAACACAGTGTTTTTGCTGAGACTATCTACTTGTTTCAATTTCAGCAGGAGGGAGCATCTGAAGATGACATAAACAACCTTTCCAAATTCAAATTTCGGACAATGAGTGATGCAGACAAGCTAGCTGCCGGCATTGCAGCACCTGTGGGTGGAGTGATGACAGAGTGTGGTACCAATCCTCCTGTCGAACATATTCTTTCAGCTGAGGATGCAGTAAGTTTTTCAAGTTTATTTTGAGAAGTTTGTGTTATCATTCTCCTTCTGTAGATATTTATGGTTGGCGCTGAATGTGTTAGAAATCCCATTTCATTTGAATAATGGTGGGATTTTAGGATAATTGCAGCAAACTGTTTACATCATGTTAATTTTTACAATGCTTGAGGTCTAAAGTCTATTATCTGTAGAATAAATAACCATATCCTAGAGTGGTGCATGCATTTCAGAAATTTGAAATTGTAGTAGGATATTCCCTGGAAATTGTTTCCTTCTTTTGCCACAGTACTTCCATAGTTACAGTTGTCTTTACATGGCGAAACATTATGCCCTCTGTTTCACTGTATTTGTCCACAACAAACCATGTGCACAAACCAAGGCATTACTAGTAACAGGAACATGAAATAACCATCTCTACCCGTATTATACATCATGATGTTACCATTTCTCTACTATTAGAGCATTGAATTAGGGGTATGGAGTAGAAATATTGCAATAATTGTACCCTACATACCATCAATGAACAAACATGGTAGAACGTTTTCTCCCAAGGCCTACAAAACAGTGAAAGTGGGACTGAGGGAATAGTATGTTTAAGTTTTTGTAGAATGTCAATTTGTCATTTTTTCTTTGCCTTCCTCAGTTCTGTGGGATTTGTGCCTCTGCCTGTATGGGACATGTCAGATGTCACTACCTTCTTGTTGCTGCCTCTGCCTATATAGGACATGTCATGTCACTACCTTCTTGTATCCATAAGCAGTTCTACTTCCTTAACACCCCATGGTTGTGAAGTTGTGATTCTAGGTGTCTATGTGCATAAAAGTTCTCCTGTCTGTGTTGAAATATTTATCTTGAACTTCTGTGAGTGTAGAAGGGTTTCAGCATCTCGCCATCCTTCTCTCTTTGGATTTGTTGTTTGCACCTTTGAAACTAGGGAGCTTTATAGATAAACATCTGATCTAGTTTTCAGAAATGACCAATCCATGTACTGTTTTTTTAAATAAAAAATGAAGCTAGAGTTTGAATGTCTTTTGCCACTTAAAGATTTAGAGTTCAGAGAAAATAATTTAAAGATTTAGAGTTCAAAGGAAAGAATTTGAGTAATTTGATAATTCTTCTGTCTTATCTGAGGAGAAGTTTCATATCTGCAACTTGAATCCAAATTAGTTGTAAAACAAAGTTGATACATTGATTCCAAATGGTTTAGTTTTAGATTTTAAATTCAACTTTAAGTTTAAAGGGCAAAGTACATCTATGAGAAATTAGCTTACACCACCTCAGATAATTTTTATCAATTTTGGAATAAATCAAAATTAACCTGCATATGATTTCAGATGTAAGATTCTATATTTGGAAGAAATTGAGTGATTTCTCTTTAATGTTTTACCTTTGACCTTTCAAAAATAGTGAGATTTTGGAATTTCTGACGGTAATGATTTAGTTTGGGATATAATGTAATGTAATGTCCATCATTTCACTAGTATGTACAAAGGAAGAAAAATGACAGTAGATCCAAAACCACACTGCTTTATTTTTCCATGCACGCAACTTACTTTTAGATTAGGGAGTCTCATTTGAATTCTACGGCAATGGTCAATGGATATATGATAGAATATGGGGATCTGGAAATAATTAATAAAATTGTAATATTCTGGTGCCAGCTTGTCTAGCTGGCATGTGACCTCAACTACTTCTTTAAGCAATCAAGTTTGGTGTCATAAATCGGGACAATTGTCTGGCGGACATCCAAAGTGATGGTCGTTTGCTGACGGACATCCCGTTTTGAGCAGTTTGCCAGAAGACACTCTGATTTGTTGAAATTATGCCACAGGACACCGCGGCCTGATTTCAGTCGGTTGAGGAGAGAGAAAATTTTGTTTTGGACATCCGGTGCCCCTGAGCCACACTTAGGTCCGCCCCCAACCTGGTCTGGTTGGACCCAACGGAGGGGATGGTGCCGCTGTACCCCAACGCCAGCATCCACGTGCAGAACCCCAGCCTCAGGCCGAGCTCGCCACTGGCTGGGGCCTGAGGCTGGGGTTCTGCACGTGGATGCTGGCGTTGGGGTACAGCGGCGCCATCCCCTCCGTTGGGTCCAACCAGACCAAGTTGGGGGTGGACCCAACTTTGGCTCAGGGGCACCGGATGTGCAAAACAAAATTTTTTCTCTCCTCAACTGGTTGAAACCGGGCCGCGGTGTCCCGTGGCATAATTTCAACGAACCAGAGTGTCTTCTGGCAAACTGCTCAAAACAGGGTGTCCGCCAGCAAACGACCATCACTTTGGATGTCCGCCAGACAATTTAGACATGTGACAGGCAGCTGAACTCAATTAATGATAAGCTCAGTAGTGTTCTCAGTGTCTGCAAGATCGATGTTTCCAGTTTGCCCATGTGTGAGCATTCAACTGGTCAGTTGGAAACTTGGAATTACTGCCTCTTGCCATTCACCTTTTGTGTAGGTACCAGTCCTTACGAAGCTGATGTTCAATTCTGAATGTTTTGTGCTGGCTCAAACCTTTGTTATCTTCTGGGAAAGAGTTACCACCCTCTGCCCAAATTATAGGTCGTTTTGGGTTTTCTAGGACATAGCTTTGCTATGCACCTAGATATACGATGTGTCTAGATACATAGTAAAAATTGTGTATCTAGAAAAGCCAAAACGACCTATAAATTGGAACGGAAGGAGTATTATGTTGAGCTCCTGTTCTTTTTGCTACTTGCTTGTTACCACAGTACTGTTAGTCACATACATTTGAGTTACCGTGCAGTCTTACACTGTTATTACTAGTAAGAGAATGCTGTTCTATCAGACTTAATCTGATCATCCCATTTTTAATGCAGGAGTGCTGTATCTGCCTATGCTCGTATGAAGATGGCGTGGAACTGCGTGAGCTCCCTTGCAACCACCATTTTCACTGCAGCTGCATAGACAAGTGGCTTCACATAAATGCTACATGCCCATTGTGCAAGTTCAACATCGTCAAGAGCAATCCCGACAGAGAAGAGGTCTAGTTCACTAAAAAAAAACGTGGCAAAACATTTGGGGCATGTCCCAGCTGTACTCTTCAGTGCTACCACATTTGCGAACCGAGTTGTGATTACCGGTCCTGTAGTTAAAAATCATAGGTGATGCACAGATGGTTGCAATGTTGGTTCTCGTGAATATTCCTTTTAGCAGTTTTCTGCACGGGCTGTACATTCTCTTTCTGCTCGATCTGCAGCCTGTTCGTTTCGGCTGGATTGGCTTATAAGCCATGGCTGAAAGTACTGCTGGCTGGTTTGGTGTGAGAGGAAAACACTGTTGGCTGGCTGATAAGTCAAGGCTTATAAGCCAGATACAGGCAGATTGCATTGTAGATTTATTTGTATAGGAACACATGGTCATGCTGGATCTTGAAAGCAGTCAGTCATTTGTAAAATGATTCATGAATTGGAGGCTAGTGTACAGACTGCTTTTGGTTGGCATAAATGATTTGAGGACAATATGAATGCGGGAGCGGGTTTATGCAGATGTGCAGATATTGTGTATCGGTTCGCTTTTGAGATATGGTAAACCCTTTTTTGCATGCAAAACATGAGTGTCCAAACGGAACATTTTTATGATATGAGATGATAATATACGTGTCGAACGATGAGGCCATTTAAAAAAAAAACTGCATGTGATAAGGGATTTTGGGGGTAAGTACAAGTGGCAAGTGGTAACAGTCTAACAGAGCACAAGATTGAAGCAAACATTGCATTTAGAAGACCCAAATTTTCAGTTTATATATGACATTTCATGATTTCATCTCCTTTGGTGTTGCTGGTTTGTGTTTAGCATGGTCACGGAATGGGTCAACCCCATATCTGGACCTCCCAAATCTTCAGTTCAGAATGTAGTTAAGTTCAACCAAACTTTATATATAACCAAACTAATCGTGACGATCATGTTCGATGATGATGGTCGCCAGGCAGCGTCAGCATTCGAGTTTTGAGGATCCGCTAAGCCGTTGGCTCATCATGCCCGCATGGATGACACGACGCCACAGCACCGTACCGTACCGCTGCATGCAACGCGCACCTGACATGGGAAGCGTCGAACCAGATACAGAGCTTATACAATCGAAACCTCACTCTCCATGAGGCCATGATGGCAGCCACGCGATGGTCTCTTGTAGTCGGCGCCGCCGTGGCCGTGGCGGTGGCCGTCATTCTGTCTTCGTCATGCTTCACCGCGACAGCCGCGGCCAGGCCACTCCCGTACCCGGGCCGCTCGTCGTCGACGTCGGCGTCCCTGGACTGCGCCACGGTGACGTCGCTGCTGGCGGGCTGCAAGGCCTTCGTCAGGCGCGGCGCGGTGGCGGCGGCGTCGCCATCCGTGCCGGCGCCCGGCGCCGCGTGCTGCGAGGGCGTGGCGGAGCTGTACGCCGTGGCCTCGGACTCCGCGGACAACTGGCGGTCGGTGTGCGGGTGCATGGCGGGGCTCGTGCGGCGGTACCCCTCCAACGCCTCCGCCATCGCGCTGCTGCCCGGTCCTCTGCGCCGTCCTGCCGCCCGCCGGGCGCGCCGCGAGCGACACCCTCACGTACTTCACAAGGTACGAGCACACACGAGTACACGACGTACGCACATCGTCGATCTCTCTCGCCCTTATTCAGTCATCAAATAGAGCGGCAACTCTGGCGCTTGTTAATATTGTTACTAATTGATCTCGCAGCCCTTCTTGAGTTCTTGACCTCGCAGCCATGGCCGGCCGTGCAAGGGTAATCTTCACGACTTCACGAGCAGTATCTCTGCTGATCATCTCAGCATAGTTGCCATGTACACACTAGCTAGAAATAAAGTTTGGACCACTGTTTTTTTCTTAATTTTTTTTTGGAGAATAGGATGCTAGTAATTTGGTTTTGGTCGTCAATTTACTTAGCTTCACGTGTGAAGTTCTTTAAAATGCGCTCTCACAAGGAATTTGTGTGGATCATGCGTGAGATTCTGTGAGAGCATGTTTTAAGAAACTCTACATGTAAAGTAAAGCTATTTTGCTAAACGGTTCACCAAAACAGTTTTAGCTTCACCGATAAAACTACTCGTGGAGCTAAAGAAAAAAAACTACTTTACTAGTAAAGCGGAGCTGTCAAAACATGGCCTTATTTTCATTCCCTTTGAAAGCACTGTTGAATTGGTTCCAAACATTTTGGGTCCCAAAGATGAGACTATAGTTGAAACTTTTTTTTTGAGAAAATTGCAAAAATACCCCACCATCTGTCATAGATTTTGAGATATATATACCACCCTATAATATGTTTTTATTGCAAATGTGCACTCCATCTATTTAGTTGCAATACCATCCTCTGCGGTCTACACATATACAGAGCTTGTTTGACAGAGCTACACTTCTAGATTCTCTGGCTCTGCTCCTTGATTCTCTAGTTAAATGATTCTACTTGATTCTGGTGAGAGCAGGTGAGAATTGATTCTAGAGTGATTCTGGTGGGTTTTGAATCGGAAGCAGTGAGGAGCATGTTTTTAGCTCGCACCTCCTAGTGTAAATGGATAAGTAATTTTTGCCTACTCCCACCTGAATCTGTGCGAGATTAACTGTTTGGCTGGAGAGGAGTGATTTTAATGGAGAATCTGCTCAAGAAGCCCTGCCAAATGGCCTCACATATACTTAGCTGATTCTACCCACGTCGCCAAACCGTTTATTAAGCATAAGCTTCTTTTCCGACACTTCGGTGCAAAGATATAAAATTATTAGGTTTGTATCGGTGATTTGTACCCAGATACCTTACCGTATAAACAATAACCAGGGTACCTTACCGTACGAATAACAACCTAAATATATTCATAGTTCTTGGTGTCCTCGATTCGTCCTTGATTTTTATTTTTTTCATTCCATAATATGGGCTCACCGTTAGGTTGAACTGGTTCGAAGCATTTTGGCCCAAAAGACGAGACCATAGTTGAAAAACCGAGAGAAATGTAAAATTCCCCGCATTTCACATAGAAGATTTTGAGATATATGCAGAGTACCACCTCATATAAGATGTTTTTATTGTAAATTCACACAACACGCTCTATGTATTTCGTTATAAAACCACTCTCTATGCATGTGCTGAGCTATCGCCAAAGTGGAGCCAATATAAGTTTTGCTAGACGAGTCATGTTGCTGTAATGAAATTTTACAAATAGTAAAAAAATGATATTAGGTTTGTACTTTTAGAATTATCCAATTTCGATAAAAGGTTACACTATCGGCTCCATGCGTGAGAAAAAGATGCGAATACAAAACCATGTAGATGTTTTTTTTTTGCAAGGAAATATGAAACATATATAAATATGGTATTGCTACGAAACATCTTATTGTCGGAATCTCGAATCGAGAGCAACATAGTGGACGTTTTTAAATCCTCCCAAATCTATAAAATGTCTTAATATAATATCGAAGTTTAAATTTCCAAATGGGACGGTGTGAAGTTTTTCTCACCAACAGTCAAGCCCATGTTTATTCGTTGGCAAAATAAGAAGGTGCGACCCATGTTTCAGGCTTCACTTTTCTTGAATCAATTCCCAGATCGCAATGGACTCCTGTTGAATTGAAAGTTTAGAGATGGGGAAAATATAATAACGCTGCCCAATTCATGTAGAGACAGAGGCACGAAACGTGTATCTCGCTCGATCTTTGGATGCAGGGGGTGTTGGTCCACAGGATCACTGGCTCATGTGAGTGAACCACTCACCAGTCTTGTCGAGCACCCGCTAGTGTTGCCGAGCACCCGCTAGTCATGTCGACCAGGAATAAGTGTTGTCCGTCCCCACACACTATGGCTAGAGCTAGAAGAAAAAGGGAGAACAGAGCATACACACAGAGCATACACACAGTACAAGACACCAGCGTTGGCCGAAGCCCTGTATAGGAGATGATAAATCTGAACTTTCTTTACTGAGTTACCGTGGTAGTCTATTTATACAACTATATCCATCTATTTCTAGTACAACGCACATGCTGTAACAGTAACCAGATAACATACAAGGCTGATTCTGCGCCGGCCTCTGCATGTGCCTACAGTGTTGCAGGTGAGCCGTGCGGCGCCTGCACCTGCAGCGGCTACAGTATCACAGCAGGGGACCTTTCGGCACCACCTTCCCTTACAGTGTTCACAAGGTAGCAGTAGATTATCTAACAATATTCTCCTAATCCTACTGCTAACCTTTGTACCCCCTCCATGCCGATCATCTCCTTCAGCTCCGTGAGTCGAAGACGTCCGAGCGGCTTGATGAGGACGTCCGCGAGTTGCCGACCGCCGACGAACTCGATGACGATCGCCTCCATCGACCGCGATTCACGAGAAAGTGGAACTTCACGTCAATGTGTTTATTTCGGTCGTGCAGAACCGGATTCTTCGCGAGAGCGATGGCGGACTGGTTGTCCACCATCAGTGCTGGTGGATGAGCTTCCACACCGGTTAGCTCGTCTAGCAGTCGGCGCAGCCACACAACTTGGCACGCCGCTGTGGCCGTCGCTACGTACTCTGCCTCGTACGTAGATAGCCCCACCACCTTCTGTTTCAGTGACAACCATGAAATTGGAGCCAACCCGAGGAAAACGAGCACACCACAGGTACTCCGTCGTTCGTCGATGTCCCCGCCATGTCTGCATCGCTGAACACAGTGAGCTGCAGCCTACTCCCGCCGGTCTTTGGAAAGATGATCTAATGATCCACCGTCCCCTTGACGTAGCGTAGTAGCCGCTTCACCGCAGCCCAGTGATCGTCTTTAGGATCCTCCATGAAGTGACTGACGTAGCCCACGGCGAACGCAATGTCCGACCGCGTGTGGACTAGGTAGCGTAGACCGCCAACGATACTCCGGTAGAGTGTTGCATCCACTTTCGCCGCAGTGCTGGCCTTCGTCAGCTTCAGCCGCTCCTCCATCGGAGTCACGCATGGCTTGCACTCAGCCATGCCACTCCTCTCCAACAGCTTGGAGGCATACGCGCTCTGACCGAGCGTGAGCTCCTCCTTTCCCTGTCTCAC